TATATATATAAAGTATTGTAATTGTAAGTTTAATAAGAAAGTAGTAAATAAATAAAAGGTAATTCCTGGCAACCATTTACATTTTGCCACTTGGAATAGATGCCCGTGTTGTACTGCAGTGTGGAAATTTTTTTTTTAAAAACTACTTGTCCAAAGGCTAAAGCGGGGGCCTACTTGTCCCTCGTGACAATATACTTGTGATACAAAAAATTATTTGAACCAAAACCATATTTAATTGTGCTAAGAAGTGCTTCTCATTGGTCAGCACAGTCAACTGATGAGTGCTAGCAATCTGTGAGGGAAAGTCCATAGCGCAGGGCTGTGCTACATGGCAGTGCGGGGTATGAATACTACACCCATACCGGCAGAGGGGTAGCCGTGTTCTCTAGAAGGTAAGTAGAGCGGTGGGGTGGGGGGCCTGATTTGAGTGGGTAATTCAATTTTCCCAAATTAATTTGGAGAGTTAACTCCCCACAGGGGGAGTTGCAGTGCAATGGAGTCGATGGTACCGCAGCCATGCACCAGAATGCATGGCACATCAATGCTTGTGTTCCGGTCCAGTGCGATCCCAAAATATAGTGCAAACACTATTTTTTGCCATCGCACTGGACCGGAACTCAGGCATTGATATGCCACGCATTCTGGTGTGGGCAGGGGCGCATGCCTGCAGTGCCATTGACTTCAATGCACAGCCACGCCCTCTCCTGCCCCAGAACTCAGGGAGGATTTTCGAATGCGTTCCAGCAGCTAACTGTACTGGAACGCACTTGAAGTGTTGTGAAGACGACGTCCGTTTTCTGTGCTGACCTGATCCGTACGCTCCTGAACTAAAAATGCATCCCAATGTATCCCTATGGGTTTTATGGGCTACAGTTCTCACGTGCGCAGTCCGTTCAGGTTACGTCAGAAAAATACTGCATGTCACATTTTGTCCGGTCAGGAAACGGTCCGGAAACGCAAAACGCGCAAAAAACGCACTGCACTGCAGCTAACATACTGATAGCCCCACTCCAGCAAAAAAAATATATTTTTTTTTTAAAAACTGGAACGCATCAAAAACGCGGCAAAAACACATAGCACCGCATCTGCAGATCCGCACCTGATCAGGACCTGAAACTAATGTGAACAGGCCCTAAGGGCTTGTTCACACCATGTCCGGGCCAGATCCGGACCAGAACAGTTTTTGTTTGCACCTGAGTCTGTCTGTTTGGTCCAGACAAAAAAGATACTGCTTGTCTCATTTTCTCTGGTCTGGAATGCATGAAAACTTATCAAAAACGCGTGCAAACTCACTGGACTGCACCTGAAAGCCCATTTTAAGCTAAAGAAAAAAAAAGCGGTAAAATGCACTGCTTTTACAGATCTGCTTCATGTCTGGTCCGGACATGGTGTGAACATAGCCTTAAGGCTTGTTCACACCATATCCAGACCAGATCTGGAGCAGATCTGCAAACACGGTGTAAAGCGCATTTGATGCATTCCGGTGCCTTTTTTTTTTTTTTTTTAAATTTAGCTTTAATTGGGATTTCAGGTGCAGTCCAGTGCTTTTGCAAGCAATTTTTATGTGTTTATATGCTTTTGTATGCATTCCAAACCAGAAAAAATAGTGCATGTGGTATTTTTTTCCCCACACCAAAATTCTCTATAAGCGATGCTTGAAAACCTCTACAACTTATCAATTGCCCATAAATGATGGCCCTAGAATTATTCCTCTTAAGGTGCCCATACACCTGCCGATTATCGTACGATAATGGCAGGTGATCCCGCGATCATACGATAATCGGCAGGTGTATGGAAGGCGTGCGACCGTTTCTACTGTACGGTCGCACGTCTTTTGTATTCCGAGCACGCTTGAAAGCGATTTTCGGCGGGTTAGTGGCGTGCTGGGAAGACAAATGTTGAACTGGCCTGTGTGCGCAAGCGCACACTGCCCGCTCAGCATTGGAATCATCGGAAGCCCTCCCCTCAGCGGGGCGGGTTTGCGATGATCGCAAGTACGATCTGCCTGTCCAAAGATGGGCAGATCATATGAGATTTTAATTACCTTACAACCATCGCACAATGAAAGTCGTGCGATGGTTGTAAGGTGTATGGGCAGCTTAACTCCGGAGTGTGCGGGTGGCTGTTGGACAGGTGGAGAAGTGATTGTGTGGCTTCACCACACCCAGGGCTCAGTGAGCTTGTTTTTACCACTTTACTGCCACATCCTTCACTGTCAAAGGGTTAAAAAAAAAAAAAAAGCCTTTTAAGTTTAATAATAGGCTCAACTAGGTGCTCCTTCATAATGCTTTGTAAAAGCTTTCTGGACACACTTGTCTAATACAAGCTGAAACCGAGGCATCATAAAGCCTGCAATAATTCGTCCTGACATCTGGATTGTCTGCAATTCAGACCATGGGGTTGCTGTACTAAAAGAGTAGAGCAGGATCACTTAGTGAATGAGGTGAAACTGACTTTAATCATCTCATCCAAAATCCATGTTTTTTCCCCGTAATATTCCTTGAAAAGAAAATGTTCGCTTAGCTTTACCTCATTCACTAAGCTAGGTGAAAACACACTTTGGAAAGTGAATCTGTTCTACTCCTTTAGTAAATAACCCAATTGTTCCATATATCTTTTATTAGTTGTTCTTATTATTTACTGGTAAATAGATGTAGGTTTGCTCCTTGGGTGACCTGGAAGCATTAGGATCACTTATCTTGTGGTACTATGACAACTGATTTGTCACTAGTATCTCTGATGATCCTGATGCTTGTCTGGTACCGGTCCACAGGTCTGTTAGCATGCTTCCATCGCTGTTGCTTAAGATCTTCAATAAAGCCTTTATTACTTTTGTGCTTGCATTTCATTTTTTTTTTCATAAGATGGCCATGTCAGTAATTCACTTATGGAAGGGAACTGTGTCTTTCATCATTGCAGGTAGTGAAAAGGTGGAGGAATGATTCTCTCGCAGGCTCAGTCTGGCGCCTATGCCAGCAACTCTGATGAGGAAAATCCTGCAGATGACTTCCTACAAGTGGAATTAGAACTGAATCTGAAGTTGGGCAATCTGGTCTTTCAGGATCCAGTCAAGTATGTGTACAATCCCTTGCTGTATGCCTGGGACCCACACGAGAGGTTTGTGCGGACCTACTGCCAATCAAAAAAGGAAGTTCTTTTTTTAGGAATGAACCCAGGACCATACGGCATGGCTCAGACAGGGGTAAGATCCTTAGCAAATGAGGTTAATTTGTTCCAAGGGTAGAGATTGATTTTTTTTTTTTTTACTCCAAGTTTAATTGCATCGGTGCCATATTAACCTGCATAAAATTGCTCAATTAAAGATGTCCTCAACATTTCGTACCATTAACTCATCTCTGATGCAGACACTTGTTAAGCATTTGTTCAACCATTCATTTTCTGTAATAAATCTATCATGGTTTACTTCATTAAGATTATACCTGCCATATACTAGGTCTGCCAACACTATCCTACTCGCTTGTATCTGCAGCTCAATTAAATACCAGGCTTGACATAGAGACTGCCACTCAAGAGGAAAGAGAAAAAAAATCTGTTAATGGCTGATGGAGAGACTGACTGGGAGTGGGAGGAGTGACACTATATGAAAAGGTCAGACAGTCTTGCTGGCTGGGATAATTGGTTACACCTCTCTGCCCCATTCCTTTATTAAGCTGTGTGATCATTTTGAGATCATGCCAAACTCCGTCATACCTCAGCGTAGGGGAAGAGTTATGTGGCTACGTGTTGCTTCAAGCTCCTAGCCAAATCACAATTAGTGTTATTGCAGAATTAGCATGTAGGAATCTCATTTTTAAACCTACTGCTGCAGTTGTGAGTTTGCTTAGTTTTTTTCTTTTTGTTACATTGCTCTTTTTCTATTCAGTAATCTAAATGCCATGATGTTCAACATGCCATGATGTTCAACAAATCCCTTTCACAGAGGTCATTGGGATAGCTTAAATAGGAACTCGGGAATTTTAAAAATGTATCTGCTTGTTTTGTCGCGGGAGGGAGGAATAAAGCAGATATACCAGCATCATCTTTTTCGCCAGACTGCTAGACCACTCCCCACAGCCTTTCCTGCCCTGGGACCTCTGACAACATTAACAGTCAGAGGGGGATTGAGGATCAGGTGAGTTTGA